TATCTAAATTTCTTTTGAAATAATGATAAAACTAGATTAAAGTTGTGAGTTTAACAGTGACTCAACATTCTTCTTTGTTTATATGTGCAATTTATACATTACAGTGGACATTTGCAAGAACATGATGGAAATACAGTAGAATAATATCTTCATATGAAAGTTTCTTTCTTGATAAATTGTCATGCCTAACTGAAATGATTTAAATGACTCCTTGTACCTGATTGATTCAGGTGTGCAAAATGATTAAACCTGGAAATTTAAACATTCAGGAAAACAAGGACATGTATATTCACCCCAGGATACCCTCCAATGGTTCCAGCTGATCTTCCAAAAGCCAATTTGTTGTCTGCACTGGATGGAGCAAGAGTGGTCTATTTTGATGCAAGGATGACTGACAGTGCTCTTGTCATTGCTCAAGAGGTAATTACATCTTAGTTGTTACCTAGTTTGGGTAATGCGAACTTCCATACTCATTAGATTTGTGCTCAAGTCAAATTTGTGACTGCTGTCAATACTTATTATGGTTACTAATTCAAATACCAGCAGTGATATAAAATAACAGATCATAAGCCTCGTAATTAGGATAGAAAACTTCAAATCCCTTTTTTGTATAAAGTATTGTGAAAATACACCTGATTATGCATCTGTAAATGAATCATTACTAGACTCACAAATGTTGTCCTTAATGTGATTGCTTTTGACATTTGAAGAGAAAGCATTTTGGTGAAACATAAGCTAAATTTAATTATATTTTGTCCTTTCAGGCATTTCGGCAGAATATATCTATCTTGATTGATGCTGAAAGGCCTAGGGAAGGGTTGAACGACCTCCTTGGATTGGCTGATTATGTTGTATGTTCTGAAAATTTTCCAAAGGCAAGTTACTCAAACTATCATGAAGTAGAATCCAAGAATATCTCAAATACTTGGGACCTGTGAGTCCTTTTCAAATTCAAAATTGTTTGTCTTATAGTCAGAAGGACCTAGGAGAACTATTTAATCAATTTTCTTTTGCAAATTCAAATTGTTTGTCCTATAGTCCGAAGAATACCCTAGGAAAACTATATAAAGCTTATAATAAAATGGAAATATGAGTTTGTTCCTATCTAACATGTGGAATGACCTCCTTGTAGAGTAGAACTTGGGACTTGCTTTAGGGCGCATCATACATGTTACATCATAAAGCATAAAAAAAGAGGATTATGTAACATGCATGGTGTATGCATCCCCCACCCTCTTTCTAAAGGCATCCACCAGATTGTCCCATGGTGGATCTACGTTAGGAATGTGCCTTAACATCATTTATTACAGTTCTGTGAGTGAACAACTTGTCACTAACCATTTTCTTCCAAGTCTAACATGTGACCATTTTAAGGGCTCGTTTACTTTGAGAGAATCTGTTCTGTTTCCATTTTCTGTTTTCACTTAAAATTACAAAAATTTCACCATTTGTTTCCTAATTTTAAAGATTTGTACTAGAAACCATGAAATCAGCTTTCATTGTTTTCAGGAATTCTTTCCTAATTTCATCTTTTTCGATTTTAAAGTTGTTAGAGAACTAACTGAAACATTTTATTCATTCATTCACCCTTACAAGGTTGAATGTTTGGACATTATTTTATTTCATGTATGGTTCTCTATTCTACTTGGTTGAACTGTTTGTGTGATATTTCTTTCTATATGAATTGTATTTATGATTTGAGTAACAATTTGACAGGCCTGGACAGAGGCATCATCTATTCCAAGAGCACTACTTTCAATTATTTTAAGGTTGCCAAGACTTAAATTTGCAATTGTAACTTTGGGAAAAGAAGGCTGCATAATGCTTGAGAAGTGTGTAGATGATGGTAAAAATACTTGTTTACTTCTTGTTTTTGGCCCTATCAAGTTGAATTCATATGAAAAAATAGGCAGAAAGTGTAGTATCTGGATAAATAGTTTTTTTTACAATTAAATTCTTCTGTAGCATAAGTTGCAATTACTTTCTGGCAGAGAGTTCTCATGTAGAAGAGATGGATGTTGACACCTGTTTGACATCATTAACAAAAACAAAGGACGATAGCACAGCCATGCCAACCTGCATAGCCTCGGTAATAACCTGCTATTTATTGTTAAAATTCTAGGTGAGCTCTGATTGTGCAATGTGTTCTCTTATTTATTAAACCATTGGACCCTGTAGGCATATGGGCTGAACTGCTTCTAATAATCTGTCATATGAAACACTACTAGTACTAGTACAAAGTCGTCACTTACACAAGACTTGTCTGTTTTATCAAATGGCACAAGAGCTTGTCCAACTGGTAGATATATACATATTTCTGGTAGAGATTGTTCAGAAAAAAAGAGTCACATTTTAAATGTCCAAAATGGGAGAAAGTTAATTTAGGTTAGTATTCCTGGGGCAAGATAACATTGGTTAACAGAATACTGCAAAAGCAACTGATACTTTTCCCATGGATATATGGACATGGCAAAGAAACTGAGACTTTTTGCACAACTTATTTTTATTGTGGAAAGAGAGTTAGTTGATCCTTTGGCAATTAAGATAAGTACAGATCAAAACTTCTTTTCATGTTGATCAAATGATCGGCAACCTAAAGGTATGCGATGGGATACCTTTTTTGCAAAGGCATTTTGATTCAAATGTCATGTAACTTGAAATTTCTAGCATTCTATTAATTGAGGTTAAAAATTTCTATACCTGTAACATCATTTTTCATAACTCTGATTTATGGTAAATGTTGGCTAAACAATGTCTGGTTGCATTATATTCATGTAAAATCCTCTTGGATGGATCTTTTTGCTTAATCCTCCCAGCCAGTTACAAAATTAATAGCTGAAGGGATAGGATCTGTGTGTGGGAGGTTATATTTTGGGACAACTGAAAAGATTCCACCATCAGAGCTTATTGATACAACAGGTGCCGGGGATGCATTTACAGGAGCTGTTTTATATGGTAAGCGCAATCTCTTCATATAGGAATTTTCTGTTTTTTCCTCTATACAGATTCTACCCAATTTCAGAGATAGAGTTATATTGTTCACCGTAATTCTATTGTATCCATCACTTCTTCCCTCTCTAACTTTTGATCATGTCATTTGTTCACTGGCTTGTTAGTTTTGCTCCTTTGATGCTACAATTTCAGAATTTACATGGTGGTTATTTTATCTGCAGCGATCTGTGCCAACTTGCCACCAAAAAAAATGTTGCCTTTTGCTTCTTATGTGGTAAGCAAGAAACGAGATGGCTTAATTTGGATTTATAACGTAATCAATGGTATCACATGCAAAAAGTTGTACACAAATACAGAACAATAGAGAAACACACGTGTTTTTTTTATACTTTTCTATGTTCAACTTAATTGGAAATTTGAAGATAATCAAGATTGCTTTTGATGCTAATTACAGGCAGCTGCCAAATGTAGAGCCCTTGGAGCTCGTGCTGGCCTTCCATACCGCACCAATCCATACCTGACATCTTTTACTGAGAGTATAGTATAGAGTCCTAAACAGTTCATCTAAATCCTAGATTAATCATGCAAGAAACAAGGCTTCAGTGTAGGAATTTTTCTGCTGTCTTCCAGTTTATAATTAATCATACAGCTCAAATGTTTGTGTTTTTATGTCTTAGTGTAGCTAATTGTAACTTAAATTGTATAGATGTTGATAAAAATGTGTGTCAAGTTCCAAGTTTCTAAGATCTACTTTTTGCAATAAAGTGTATTTCTCTATCAAGATTGCTTTTTGTTATTCTTCTCGCTTCTTTTTCTTGTTTTGTTAGCTTCTTTTCTTCCTAGAGTTCTTATTTTTTATTTAGAATTTGAAGAAACATTGGCATTCAGTGGTTCAAGTAATGCTTTATTTTCAATGTTATTTTGAAATCAAAGCATTTAAGTTTTTATAAAATTTGTAATAGAGTATAATATAGGTTGATTCTCAACAAACAAATATGTATTGTATTTAAATTTTAATATTCTTTCTATGCATACTAATTTAAACATTTTTAGAATTTAAGTAAAATTCAAATAGAATTAAAATACAAACGAAGATTAAAAACAGAAATAATTAAAAATGAAAGGTTAATTCACAAATTTACTATTCATAGAATTCATTTATGTTCTTCAAAGTTTAAACAAGTATACAGTTCAGTAAATTAATTCAATCGAATAAGAATCATTGATTACTTAAATTAATAGAAAATTGAAAAACACTAAACTAAAACTGAAAAAAGAAAACCCTCAAAGTGATTACTTAGCAAGACGCTCTCAATTTTTTTTAAAATGTTGCACCTATTTATATGTTTTACGTAAATAAGCAAATTTACAAAAAAAGGTTATGGAGAATTTTATTTACAGTCACAATTTTTAAATAAAGAAATTATATTTAAAAGTACGAATTTAGGGTTATTTTACTTTTTTTTTTCTTTTATTGATGAAGTGCAGCACCTTTTTGGCTTTTTATATTTTTCCTAAAATCGTAACACGGTTTTTAATCATGTTTGTTTTCTATTTTTTAAAATTTTTTATTATAATCATTATGATACATAACTATGTGTAATATTATGATTTAAAAAAATCCAAAAAACAGTCTTGTGTTTAAATCGATAGATTTAGTGACCTATAGGAATGAATAAGATCATGTGTTTCAAAACAATGAAAAGGCAATCTAAAATTATGTTTCAGAAAAGACAAAAACTAGAAATGTAATCCACTTCACAAACTCACCATAAAAAGTTATAGGAAAAAATATTTGACACAATTTATTATTTATTTATATTATTATGCTGATATACTTTAAATTTAATGAATAAATGACACATACAATTGTAAAACTTTTTGTGTTAGTATATTATTTTCTAAAATTATATTTATAAAATAAAAATTTTACACAAAAATTAATTTAANCATTTTTCATAACTCTGATTTATGGTAAATGTTGGCTAAACAATGTCTGGTTGCATTATATTCATGTAAAATCCTCTTGGATGGATCTTTTTGCTTAATCCTCCCAGCCAGTTACAAAATTAATAGCTGAAGGGATAGGATCTGTGTGTGGGAGGTTATATTTTGGGACAACTGAAAAGATTCCACCATCAGAGCTTATTGATACAACAGGTGCCGGGGATGCATTTACAGGAGCTGTTTTATATGGTAAGCGCAATCTCTTCATATAGGAATTTTCTGTTTTTTCCTCTATACAGATTCTACCCAATTTCAGAGATAGAGTTATATTGTTCACCGTAATTCTATTGTATCCATCACTTCTTCCCTCTCTAACTTTTGATCATGTCATTTGTTCACTGGCTTGTTAGTTTTGCTCCTTTGATGCTACAATTTCAGAATTTACATGGTGGTTATTTTATCTGCAGCGATCTGTGCCAACTTGCCACCAAAAAAAATGTTGCCTTTTGCTTCTTATGTGGTAAGCAAGAAACGAGATGGCTTAATTTGGATTTATAACGTAATCAATGGTATCACATGCAAAAAGTTGTACACAAATACAGAACAATAGAGAAACACACGTGTTTTTTTTATACTTTTCTATGTTCAACTTAATTGGAAATTTGAAGATAATCAAGATTGCTTTTGATGCTAATTACAGGCAGCTGCCAAATGTAGAGCCCTTGGAGCTCGTGCTGGCCTTCCATACCGCACCAATCCATACCTGACATCTTTTACTGAGAGTATAGTATAGAGTCCTAAACAGTTCATCTAAATCCTAGATTAATCATGCAAGAAACAAGGCTTCAGTGTAGGAATTTTTCTGCTGTCTTCCAGTTTATAATTAATCATACAGCTCAAATGTTTGTGTTTTTATGTCTTAGTGTAGCTAATTGTAACTTAAATTGTATAGATGTTGATAAAAATGTGTGTCAAGTTCCAAGTTACTAAGATCTACTTTTTGCAATAAAGTGTATTTCTCTATCAAGATTGCTTTTTGTTATTCTTCTCGCTTCTTTTTCTTGTTTTGTTAGCTTCTTTTCTTCCTAGAGTTCTTATTTTTTATTTAGAATTTGAAGAAACATTGGCATTCAGTGGTTCAAGTAATGCTTCATTTTCAATGTTATTTTGAAATCAAAGCATTCAAGTTTTTATAAAATTTGTAATAGAGTATAATATAGGTTGATTCTCAACAAACAAATATGTATTGTATTTAAATTTTAATATTCTTTCTATGCATACTAATTTAAACATTTTTAGAATTTAAGTAAAATTCAAATAGAATTAAAATACAAACGAAGATTAAAAACAGAAATAATTAAAAATGAAAGGTTAATTCACAAATTTACTATTCATAGAATTCATTTATGTTCTTCAAAGTTTAAACAAGTATACAGTTCAGTAAATTAATTCAATCGAATAAGAATCATTGATTACTTAAATTAATAGAAAATTGAAAAACACTAAACTAAAACTGAAAAAAGAAAACCCTCAAAGTGATTACTTAGCAAGACGCTCTCAATTTTTTTTAAAATGTTGCACCTATTTATATGTTTTACGTAAATAAGCAAATTTACAAAAAAAGGTTATGGAGAATTTTATTTACAGTCACAATTTTTAAATAAAGAAATTATATTTAAAAGTACGAATTTAGGGTTATTTTACTTTTTTTTTTCTTTTATTGATGAAGTGCAGCACCTTTTTGGCTTTTTATATTTTTCCTAAAATCGTAACACGGTTTTTAATCATGTTTGTTTTCTATTTTTTAAAATTTTTTATTATAATCATTATGATACATAACTATGTGTAATATTATGATTTAAAAAAATCCAAAAAACAGTCTTGTGTTTAAATCGATAGATTTAGTGACCTATAGGAATGAATAAGATCATGTGTTTCAAAACAATGAAAAGGCAATCTAAAATTATGTTTCAGAAAAGACAAAAACTAGAAATGTAATCCACTTCACAAACTCACCATAAAAAGTTATAGGAAAAAATATTTGACACAATTTATTATTTATTTATATTATTATGCTGATATACTTTAAATTTAATGAATAAATGACACATACAATTGTAAAACTTTTTGTGTTAGTATATTATTTTCTAAAATTATATTTATAAAATAAAAATTTTACACAAAAATTAATTTAATTTACATAAAATCATCTTAATAATAAAGATATTAAAAGAAAGGATTAAAACAAAAATAATTAGTATTTAAAAATTTCATAAGAAAATCATCATATGAGATAGTTAGATTAGAGTTTAATATGTTGAGACTTGGAAAATACATAGGAATAGGAATATTGGTAGATGAGATACAGTTAGAGTAAAATTAATCTAATTTAATATTAAAAATTTTGAGCTATAAATAGAAAATTAACTAATCGAGATTTTACAAAAGTTATCATTTTTCTAAAACATACTTATATTCTCTTGTTAGGATTTTTTTTTTTCCCATTTGATAAGAGATTTTTTTTATGTAAATAAAATGTTGTATGAGAGCTCATGTTTGTGGAGTTTTGTATAAAGAGTTTAAGTTGAGGTAAGGAAGGTTAATTGTTCTATTGGGTTTGTTTTTTTTTTTTTAAATTAGTTTATGTTTTTTGTGTGGATGAATGTAAGTTAAGTTATGATGAGTTGAAAAGTAATTTATACTGATCGTTTTGTTGTTCGTGAATGTTTTGATTGAATCAAACGAATCAGTGTGGTTGAAGTTTTATGTTAAAAATATAAGATATAAAATCAATTCTAAAAAACAAAAATTCACCTCATTAGGTGTTTTAAGTGGTTACGTAAGCCAATAACAGTCATATAATAATATAATTTGTTCTTGTTGACATTTTATTTTTAACTATTTAAATGTCATCAGTAAAAAATAACTAAATTAAATATAAATTACGAAATTAAAAAATACATTAAACATTACAAAAAATAATATCAAACAAAATTCACGAAAATAAAGATAAATTGGTATTAAATTTTATATTTAAAATAACTTCCCTTACTTGTCTTGAAATTAAACCAAAGAAAGAAAATTTTTACTTTGAAAAGATGTTTCTTTTAGGAAATATATAAAACGGTACAATATATGAAAAATATATACAGAAATGAAATATTTAATTATGGCAAAATATGAAGCAAAAGAAAAAGAAAATGGTAGGTTGAAATAGAAGCAAAGTTGATGAAGTTGAATCTGGCGCCACCACCACTCACTCACTCTCACTCGCTAACAAACCAAAAGATGTTGAACCTCTGCGCTGTTATTCCCAATGCTTCTTCAACCTTCACATCCAGCGTTCAACCTCACCCATTTCTCAACTTCGTCAATGTAATTCACTCTCCCTCTCATCTTCTTTCTCTCTCTGCTAATTCTGTAACTATTTGTTCTTAATTTGCTCTTTTTGTCTCAATTACTTTGTTTGGGTCAAAGAGAAGGAGAAGACCTCGCTGCAGGGTTACCATGTCCTCCGATCCTCAAAACGCCGTCGTTGTAAGCTCTCTCTCTATATACATCATTCCATTTGAAGCATTGTCGTCAAAATTAGAGAGTTTATTTCTTTAATCTTTACATATGTATGTATGCATATATGTGTGTGTGCAGGTGGGATGTGGAGGAGTGTCTGTCGATTTCTTGGCAAGCGTGGCCGCTTATCCTAAGCCAGATGACAAAATCAGAACCACAAATTTGAAGGTACCTTCTTCTTTCACTTTTCATGAATAATTTTGTGTTGTGCTAACATTTGCTGGTGGTTTTTATCAGGTTCAAGGAGGTGGCAATGCTGGTAATGCCTTAACCTGCCTTGCTCGCTTGGGCCTAAACGCAAGGCTTATTTCCAAGGTTGTTTTTTTCATTTAAATAAACTAAAGTTTTAATTTTTATGCACTTAGAATTAAAAAATATATATATATATTACACTGTCAATTAATCAGAAATCACTGTGGCTATGACTTTTAAGGTAATTTGCTGTATTATTCAATAGATTTGGTATACGTATCAGTTTGTCATTTGATGAAAGTGTAAAACCTTTAAATGATCAATGGTTCAGTGCACTATTTACTCATGTCCCTCAGAATTTCTTTTGTAAAAATAAAGCTATCGATAATATTTAATGGTTTAAATTTTATACTGATACACACACGGTTGGACAATTATTAGGTTGCTGATGACAGTCAAGGCAGGGGTATATTAGACGAGCTGCGAGCTGATGGTGTAGATACATCCTTTATAGTGGTACTTTTTAAGACGGCTCTCTTTGTAATTTTTACTCTTTGTGTTGGATATGAACGATATTATGATTCCATGGTGAAGTCGCTATTAGCTTCTTTTAACTCTTCACCAGGTTGTGTATGTTTCTGTATGTATACATTTTTCTTAACTTAAATGCTATTGATGCTCTCAATGTTGTCTTTACACTCCCCACTAACTACTTTTTGTAATTTCCTCTAGTGTATGTTCTGAATTTTGCAATTAAAAGCAGTTAGTGATGGTTGAGAATAGACAATTAAGAGAGCATCTGCCCTAACTATTTTTTTTAATAATTTTTTCAGTGGATGCATTCCCTGTTATTTGCAGGTGTCTAAGGAGGGAACATCACCATTTACATATATTATTGTCGACACCCAAACGTAATGGTCATTGGCTTACATATATGTTACATATCTTGACTTTACTGAGTATATTCATGGTCTAATTACGAAGAGGTGGGGGCACAGAGTATGATTTGTGTATCTAGTCAAGATTTGGATCACTGTCAACTGAATGTTTTTAGCATAAAATTGTAGACATGCTGCTGTACTTCTATTTGCTTTGAAGAATAAAAATAGGAGGAAATGAACAGAAGCTGCAAACTTTTCAGTTTTACTTTTACATGTCTATTGACTATAACTTGCATGTCTCCATTATCTTGTGTTTATCCATAATTGGCCTACACTTGTTTCAACGAACCTTCACTGCATGAATGAGACAGAAATTGCTCATTAGTCGTAATAATACAAAAAAAAAACTATTTGCTATCATTATTAATTATAAATTGAGTTCTTTAAGCATTGTAACCTGACTTCATTGCTATCTTCTAGGGAGATTGTTGATAATTTTATTGGTAACCTGATTCATTCGAAGTGTGATTTTTCAGGAAGACCCGTACTTGTATACATACCCCAGGATATCCTCCAATGATACCAGACAACCTGCCAAAATCAAGTTTGTTATCTGCATTGGATGGAGCAAAATTTGCTTATTTTGATGGCAGGTTGCCTGACACTGCTCTACTTGTTGCCCAAGAGGTTATCATCTGTACAATTTATTTGCAACTGTGATGCAAACTATAAGGCCTAGTCATATTTCATAGTTGAATCAGCAAGAAGGAAAATAGAAGCTGAAGGCTTGAAGCATGCAAAATTTAAAAGAAGCATACACTTGTTGAATAGAAAAAGGGAAAATTTAAGGGGGAGCGGGGTGGAACCAACCAACCAACCTTAGGGAGAGAGCTTTTTACGAGTATAGTTTTACTAGTTTGTGAATACTACAAGTACCATTTATGTAATTTCCCTTGGTATTTACTAGTTTGTGAATACTACAAGTACCATTTATGTAATTTCCCTTGGTATTCTTTTACACATTTCTCTCTTTTATCTGTTTTCCCCTGCCTGTAAAGGAAGTTGGGGATGGACAAAGAGAGCTTCATCCGAAGGGAAGCAAACAAAATTTTATATTTTTTCAGTGCAGGCAGTGAAAAAGAATATACCCATCTTAATTGATGCAGAAAGGCCAAGGGAAGGGTTGGACGATTTCCTAAAACTAGCTGATTATGTTGTATGCTCAGCAAAGTTTCCAAAGGTAAGTGTGTTTTTTCTCTAGAATTGGTGACAAATGTATTATACCAGATTTTCTCTCATCAATATTGTTTTCATTTCATAAATGTTGAAATGATTTTAACAGTCCACTTTGCTGTTCCCAGCCAATCAGTAAATGTTTTATTTACTTTGTAAAATATATGCTGTTATCTCTCAAGAAAAGAAAAATCTATTCTCTTCCTTTGTGCGTTTGGCACGCTCATATTTGTAATATCGAACATTAGCACGCTATTCATTTCAGTTATCTACTCTGTATGCTATTCTTTTTGTGATGGAAAAGGGACATTGCTTTCTTGATTCCAATGGTACATATCATTTCCCTTTTCTGTTTGCCGTAACTTTTTTTTTTTTTATTTCATACACCTATATATCCATTTATTTTACTGAAACCTTATTTTTACTCCATTCTGTGGGTTTAATTATTAAATAAACATGTACTCTTTTCTGCTGACAGGCATGGACAGAGGCATCCACTCTTCCACAAGCACTTGTTTCTATGCTTTTAATGTTGCCCAACATAAAATTTGTGATTGTAACTTTGGGAAAAGATGGATGCATAATGCTGGAGAGAACGGCTGATAGTATGTATAGATGATAGTGGCCATATTAGCATATTTTATTCGGTTTTCATGTAAAGATAGTTTCATTTACTGAGCCTTTTCTGGCATCAGGTCCTTCTGCAGAAGAAGTGGATGCTGACACCTTATTGGAATCATTGGAGTTAAAAAGGAATAAGAGTGTATCCACCCCAACCTGCATACAATCAGTAATGTCAACAAAACCCGGAATTATTTTTCCTTGATTTTGGTATTACTGAAATCTCACCCCAAGTTTTATGACACTGTATGGGGTAGGGTGGGCTACTTAGAACAACTGATGTTGTTGGGCTATATCAAACACCCAGCTTTTAGTAAGAAAAATGTTAGCAACACACGCTATGTTATTGGCTGAAATTTATTGAAAATCACAAATCTGTATGATTCCCACTTCTTTTCAATTAATTTTAACTAATACTACTGAGAATGTTGCTATCACTTCTCTCTTTTGTAAAATCATTTACGATGTACTAATGTATTTGGTAAGGGCTTCAAAAAAAATTTATTTGTAAAGCTTGGACACTAACACAGACATAGAGACAGAAAAAATTCTAAAATTTGTGCGATAAGGACATGGAGCATACTTTCTTGACATTTTGTTAAGAATTTCCTAAATGAAATTGTCAGTAGTTTAACTGGCTACAAACAAGTACAATTTTTCTGTTAAAAGATTTTAAATATTGTGTCTGGGGAGTGTGGTGTAGAAGTGTCTGTGTCCAACTTGCAGACACAGCACTAAATGGTGTGTTTATACTATATGAGATTTTTCTCTAGCTCTAATTTTGGATTATCTTCGGTTTGAACCAATTTCAAATCACTGAAGTGAATTGTTGCGTTCACAATTAACACCAGTGTTATAATGCTTAAACCAAGCATTGGTGCGTGTTTTTTAGACATTCACAAGATGAATATATTGTCTCACACTAACATGAGCTAGACATTTTTTGCAAACCGTTCTGATGTAGCCTCTAAAACTCATTTTTTCTTATTTCTAGCAATATTAGTAAAGGATAGGGATGACAGAAAACCTTTGCAGAAATGACCAAATATAACCTACATTCTTTTGCCAATCTTTGACATGGAAGACTCTGAAACCATTAAACCGCCAAGGCAATCTTTGTCTACGTTTAAACCAATACAAAGGAAGATTGAGCAACTTGTGTTTATTATTCCTTGTCACTCTATGTTTTAGTCTTGGATTGCAGCGTTCAACTTAATCTCTTCTACATACTAATTTCTTTATTTTCAGAGTTAATTTGTAAATTGATAGCAGTGTTACAGATAAATAAAAGTATTCTACAGCCATTCAAAGTAAAGCCAAGTACTTGGATCCTTGAGGTTCTAGGAATAGGGATTGTAACTTAAAAAATTCACGTTCTTGTTTGGGATTTTGGTCAACTTTTTAGTCATACGTTTTTCCCTTTGATTCACCCAGTCAGTGGCAAAATTGAAGGCAGAGGGGATAGGAACAGTTAGTGGGAAGTTATATGTTGGAACAGCCGAGAGTATTCCACCATCAGAGCTTGTTGATACCACTGGTGCTGGGGATGCTTTTATTGGGGCTGTAATCTATGGTAAACTCTACAGCTTTGCTAAATCTTTTTCTCAGTCTTTGGCAAGGCCGTGATATCAGAATGTGCGACTTGCATATAAACTTCCACATGTCTTATGTTTATTCTTCCTGAAACCATATTTAACTTCTCTGAATACACGGATGACATCTGTTCTGTGCTTATTATTTTCAGCTATCTGTGCCAAGTTTACTCCAGAGACAATGCTATCCTTTGCTGCTAGTGTGGTATGCGATCTTATACTCAATTATCATTGCACGCGCACACACAAATACAATGTGCTATATGCATGGCTTATTTTGTACTTCAATTGGGACAATGCAAATGGAGTGAATCTATTGAACTAAAGTATATATTTTATTATTCGATTGGATAATTTTTTGCCCACAAATGACTCTAAACTGAACCCTTCGCATTGAGGGAATGGGTCAGGTTCGAGAGCTTATTCATTTTATTGCCACTTCAGGCAGGTGCCAAGTGCAGGGATCTAGGAGCACGGAGTGGTCTTCCTTATCGTGCAGATCCACACTTTCAATCCTTTATATTGGAGAATTTGAGTACTTCATCTTAACATGTAATAATAGGTACCTGTATTCTGTTTCCAAAGCTAGGTTTTCCGTTAGTTAGTTATTCAACAGTTTCAAGTATAAATAGCTTGTAATCTTCCATTTCAGATTAGATGTCTTCATTGGGATATTCGACTTAGTTGTTCAGTGGAGCTAATGATCATGGCATTTAAACTTTTTGCCTTTTCTATATATTTGACTTTTTGTAGTGGAAATGAGGATATTATCTGCTTTTTAGTTTTCACTTCGCTTGAGTTAACTTCCTCATGGATTACAATGAAATCATAAGATAGTGTGTTTTGGTGCTGTGAAGAAAATTGAAGGTTTTGATACAATAGAAAAAAATAAATGAAAGGTTGTTACCGACAACTTTATTTGATCAGTATAAAACTTAGAAAGCTAGAAAAATTTATAAAATGGAAATTCATATCCTAACTTCTTTATACAGAATGTAATTTAAAAAAAGCTACCATTTCTACAAATTTTAAGTTCAGATAATTGAACATTTTCTACCAAAGTATGTATAGGAAGTTATCCTTTCATATACATGTAGCTTTTAGGTTGCGGTTGTTTAAAAAAGTCAGGAAAATTTACCAGAATGTGTATGCTATACACAATCTTGTTAGATTTTTTTTTTTTTTAAGTCCTACTTCTATTGTTATTTTTTTTTATTGTAGTCATGTTTATTAAACATAATTTTTATTAATTTTAGTGAAACCCTACTTATCAGGTATAACTTTTATTTTTATTTTTACTAAAATTGTGTTTGATAAATATAATTTTGATACAAAATAGTAGAATGTGTAATTTTAATAAAAAAATATAATAAATAAATAACATTTGTGTTGTTAAAAATAATAAAAAATAAAAAGTTGAAATGGTGTTCGAGTAACACGATTTCTTGGTATACTTCATACTTCACATGACTTCCCAAATTTTGATAATTTCTTAACAATTGCTGTAGAATGATAAATTTTTCAAGAAATTAAAATGGATATTTGGTTATATACCGAAAGTTCTAAATGAAGAAAATAAAACAAACAAAATTTAATTTCACAATAAAATTAAAAAATTAAAGTCATATTTAACTCTTCAATTAAAAGTAATAATCATCTCAAATGAAAACTAATCTGTTATTTTTCTATTGTAACAAAATTTAATGTGTTCCATCTCAACAAACAATCTCCAATTCTTCCAAATGTGAAAATGTTCAAGGATAAATCGTTAAGTATAACACAAATAAAACACTCAGATAATTGAAATAACTTAACGCTAACAAAAAGATTCAAAACACACAATTAAAATAATGCAGCAATCCTCTAACTAAAAAAATAATTGAAATGCATAATATAAAAAATAGAAACCAATATTAATAAAAGAGTTAGTAGCATAAAAATAGCCTTCACCTGATCCTAGCCTCCTCCTCCAATGTACAATTGTTAACAATCAAACCCATCTACAATTATCCTGGAAATTCTACTAGCATGTCTTTTTCAATTTCATTTCATTTCAAATTTAATAATTATCCTTTATATTCCTTCCAACCCATAATTTCTACTCCTAAAGTAATTATTTATAAGAAACAATTAAAAAACCAACAGTCTAAAATAGAGGATACATAATAGGTGACGACAGGAGGATACATAATAATCGAAATTGAGCTTCCATCAGGAATAAAAAATGTTATCTGGTCACAGTAATAAAAGAGGATACATAATAGGTGACGACAGGAGGACATAAAAATCAAATAGAGTTGGAGAATTCGATCATTCGTATAAAATTTCCCATTGCAACGCATAGGCGACACATTCTTCTTTTGAAATGGTTCAGAACAAAATCACAACATAGTACATTTTTCTAAGATGATTAATTGAGCATGAAATGCCCGTCTGAATAAGAAAATCACTGCTTGTTCAGCCAAGAATGCAGTAATATATACATTGTGCACAATTACCCAGGAACATTTCATCCTGTATCATGTATATGGATAACCTTTATTTGAGTGCCCGTAAATGCACCTAAAAGACTTTGTTTTTCTCCAAATAAAGTTCACATTGGAATTAGCAAGACTAATAATAGATAAAAATATTCCAACAAGCAGTGATAAGTAGCATTTACAATAATTTAATTAAAAGCATTCTAAAATAACTTGCAGGTAAAGTTCAATATAAGAAAACACTATTAAAACCTAGAATCCAGTTTCTGATGTGTTGGATGATCCCACAAGAACATCATAACCATAAACCAATACATTTATAAAAATAATAATCTCAACAAACCAAAGGTTTTGCATCAAAGGCCTCTCTTACTTCCAATAAGTTGGGGCAATATCTTTTTGCAAGAATCTCAACCTGCTCAGAAAATGACTTCCCTCCATGGTCTCCAATATATCGGACAATTTGGTTCCATCGTTTTCTACATGCCTCACCAGTCCTGTGCTCAAGCAGATCGTCCCAATCCACCTCCTCCGTGCAGCACGCATCCAAGTTATATAAAGCATCGACCAAGCGATAGTCATCAGTATCACTCCATGCACCAGTAGCAACCATGGGTGATCTTAATTTATCATACCACTTGTGGCAACAGCTCACGGAGGTTCTAGTGACCAACTTATCACCAATGGCCTCCCAACCAATATTATCTCGCAACATACCATGTTTTGATTTTCTATAACCCTGTGAAGCCCTCACACGTAGGTCTAGGTTCACTAAATCAAATAACTTTTGATACTCCTCTTGGGTCCATCGTCCTTTATTTGTATTTCTTAATTTCACTCTACGCCATGCATCCTTTACATGAATTCGATTTTTTCCCAATGCGTCAGCTACTTGTCTCCAATTAGATCCATGTTGTTCCTTGACCTTCCGTAAAAATTCATACTCTTCAGGTGTCCACTTTCGCATCTCACTCCTTTCAAACAAAATATGGGCACGAGTATACACACTATTCTTTGGCCTGTGGGGTAAGGCTGCTGCAATTTCATTCCAACAAGATCTAACTTCCGGATGAGAACTGCAATGGAGAACCATATCTAGACCTTCATCTCCCAAACCACGAGACTCTATAAAATTATAAACAGCCGATTTAATCTGCTCATCTTCTTCTAGTGTGAACCGTTTCCCACGGACTAAGCCATCACAACAAACCTCCACTTGATCAGAAAAAGTTACCCGTTTGGGTTTGGATAATCCACTGCGTGCAGGATTAGGAGACTCGTCATTATCTGCCTTGGTTTCCTTCTTTGTCATCATATTTTCATTCTTGCTTTTGTTGTCTTCAATCATTTTTTCCTTCTTACTCTTCCTACCTTCAAAATCATCTTCACCTTCATTCCTCTGAAATACATTATACTCCTTACTTTTGTTTTCTTTACTCATTTTTTTCTTCTTCCTCTTCTTACCTTGGGCATCATCTTCATCTTCGTTGTTTTCAAACTCATTATACTCCTTACTTTTGCCNGGGATGCTTTTATTGGGGCTGTAATCTATGGTAAACTCTACAGCTTTGCTAAATCTTTTTCTCAGTCTTTGGCAAGGCCGTGATATCAGAATGTGCGACTTGCATATAAACTTCCACATGTCTTATGTTTATTCTTCCTGAAACCATATTTAACTTCTCTGAATACACGGATGACATCTGTTCTGTGCTTATTATTTTCAGCTATCTGTGCCAAGTTTACTCCAGAGACAATGCTATCCTTTGCTGCTAGTGTGGTATGCGATCTTATACTCAATTATCATTGCACGCGCACACACAAATACAATGTGCTATATGCATGGCTTATTTTGTACTTCAATTGGGACAATGCAAATGGAGTGAATCTATTGAACTAAAGTATATATTTTATTATTCGATTGGATAATTTTTTGCCCACAAATGACTCTAAACTGAACCCTTCGCATTGAGGGAATGGGTCAGGTTCGAGAGCTTATTCATTTTATTGCCACTTCAGGCAGGTGCCAAGTGCAGGGATCTAGGAGCACGGAGTGGTCTTCCTTATCGTGCAGATCCACACTTTCAATCCTTTATATTGGAGAATTTGAGTACTTCATCTTAACATGTAATAATAGGTACCTGTATTCTGTTTCCAAAGCTAGGTTTTCCGTTAGTTAGTTATGCAACAGTTTCAAGTATAAATAGCTTGTAATCTTCCATTTCAGATTAGATGTCTTCATTGGGATATTCGACTTAGTTGTTCAGTGGAGCTAATGATCATGGCATTTAAACTTTTTGCCTTCTATATATTTGACTTTTTGTAGTGGAAATGAGGATATTATCTGCTTTTTAGTTTTCACTTCGCTTGAGTTAACTTCCTCATGGATTACAATGAAATCATAAGATAGTGTGTTTTGGTGCTGTGAAGAAAATTGAAGGTTTTGATACAATAGAAAAAAATAAATGAAAGGTTGTTACCGACAACTTTATTTGATCAGTATAAAACTTAGAAAGCTAGAAAAATTTATAAAATGGAAATTCATATCCTAACTTCTTTATACAGAATGTAATTTAAAAAAAGCTACCATTTCTACAAATTTTAAGTTCAGATAATTGAACATTTTCTACCAAAGTATGTATAGGAAGTTATCCTTTCATATACATGTAGCTTTTAGGTTGCGGTTGTTTAAAAAAGTCAGGAAAATTTACCAGAATGTGTATGCTATACACAATCTTGTTAGATTTTTTTTTTTTTTAAGTCCTACTTCTATTGTTATTTTTTTTTATTGTAGTCATGTTTATTAAACATAATTTTTATTAATTTTAGTGAAACCCTACTTATCAGGTATAACTTTTATTTTTATTTTTACTAAAATTGTGTTTGATAAATATAATTTTGATACAAAATAGTAGAATGTGTAATTTTAATAAAAAAATATAATAAATAAATAACATTTGTGTTGTTAAAAATAATAAAAAATAAAAAGTTGAAATGGTGTTCGAGTAACACGATTTCTTGGTATACTTCATACTTCACATGACTTCCCAAATTTTGATAATTTCTTAACAATTGCTGTAGAATGATAAATTTTTCAAGAAATTAAAATGGATATTTGGTTATATACCGAAAGTTCTAAATGAAGAAAATAAAACAAACAAAATTTAATTTCACAATAAAATTAAAAAATTAAAGTCATATTTAACTCTTCAATTAAAAGTAATAATCATCTCAAATGAAAACTAATCTGTTATTTTTCTATTGTAACAAAATTTAATGTGTTCCATCTCAACAAACAATCTCCAATTCTTCCAAATGTGAAAATGTTCAAGGATAAATCGTTAAGTATAACACAAATAAAACACTCAGATAATTGAAATAACTTAACGCTAACAAAAAGATTCAAAACACACAATTAAAATAATGCAGCAATCCTCTAACTAAAAAAATAATTGAAATGCATAATATAAAAAATAGAAACCAATATTAATAAAAGAGTTAGTAGCATAAAAATAGCCTTCACCTGATCCTAGCCTCCTCCTCCAATGTACAATTGTTAACAATCAAACCCATCTACAATTATCCTGGAAATTCTACTAGCATGTCTTTTTCAATTTCATTTCATTTCAAATTTAATAATTATCCTTTATATTCCTTCCAACCCATAATTTCTACTCCTAAAGTAATTATTTATAAGAAACAATTAAAAAACCAACAGTCTAAAATAGAGGATACATAATAGGTGACGACAGGAGGATACATAATAATCGAAATTGAGCTTCCATCAGGAATAAAAAATGTTATCTGGTCACAGTAATAAAAGAGGATACATAATAGGTGACGACAGGAGGACATAAAAATCAAATAGAGTTGGAGAATTCGATCATTCGTATAAAATTTCCCATTGCAACGCATAGGCGACACATTCTTCTTTTGAAATGGTTCAGAACAAAATCACAACATAGTACATTTTTCTAAGATGATTAATTGAGCATGAAATGCCCGTCTGAATAAGAAAATCACTGCTTGTTCAGCCAAGAATGCAGTAATATATACATTGTGCACAATTACCCAGGAACATTTCATCCTGTATCATGTATATGGATAACCTTTATTTGAGTGCCCGTAAATGCACCTAAAAGACTTTGTTTTTTTCCAAATAAAGTTCACATTGGAATTAGCAAGACTAATAATAGATAAAAATATTCCAACAAGCAGTGATAAGTAGCATTTACAATAATTTAATTAAAAGCATTCTAAAATAACTTGCAAGGTAAAGTTCAATATAAGAAAACACTATTAAAACCTAGAATCCAGTTTCTGATGTGTTGGATGATCCCACAAGAACATCATAACCATAAACCAATACATTTATAAAAATAATAATCTCAACAAACCAAAGGTTTTGCATCAAAGGCCTCTCTTACTTCCAATAAGTTGGGGCAATATCTTTTTGCAAGAATCTCAACCTGCTCAGAAAATGACTTCCCTCCATGGTCTCCAATATATCGGACAATTTGGTTCCATCGTTTTCTACATGCCTCACCAGTCCTGTGCTCAAGCAGATCGTCCCAATCCACCTCCTCCGTGCAGCACGCATCCAAGTTATATAAAGCATCGACCAAGCGATAGTCATCAGTATCACTCCATGCACCAGTAGCAACCATGGGTGATCTTAATTTATCATACCACTTGTGGCAACAGCTCACGGAGGTTCTAGTGACCAACTTATCACCAATGGCCTCCCAACCAATATTATCTCGCAACATACCATGTTTTGATTTTCTATAACCCTGTGAAGCCCTCACACGTAGGTCTAGGTTCACTAAATCAAATAACTTTTGATACTCCTCTTGGGTCCATCGTCCTTTATTTGTATTTCTTAATTTCACTCTACGCCATGCATCCTTTACATGAATTCGATTTTTTCCCAATGCGTCAGCTACTTGTCTCCAATTAGATCCATGTTGTTCCTTGACCTTCCGTAAAAATTCATACTCTTCAGGTGTCCACTTTCGCATCTCACTCCTTTCAAACAAAATATGGGCACGAGTATACACACTATTCTTTGGCCTGTGGGGTAAGGCTGCTGCAATTTCATTCCAACAAGATCTAACTTCCGGATGAGAACTGCAATGGAGAACCATATCTAGACCTTCATCTCCCAAACCACGAGACTCTATAAAATTATAAACAGCCGATTTAATCTGCTCATCTTCTTCTAGTGTGAACCGTTTCCCACGGACTAAGCCATCAC